TTTTAGAGACAAAGACAAGTCCAGGGAAGGAAGAAAAGACACTGATTTATGCATTCAGTGGTTGTTGCTTTTATGTGCCCTGACCAGGGATTGAACCCACAACTTTGGCATAGTGGGACAACCCTCTAACCCAGTGTTTCCCAAAGTGTGGTACGAGTACCCCCAGGGGTACGGGAAGAGTTCGGTGGGGATATGTACTGCACCGTGCTTAGCTGTGCCTAATTCTACGTTCTCATGAGTAGAAGGGGGACTCAGCGTTACGAAAATTATAGAAAGGGTACACATATGTCAAAAGTTTGGGAAGCACTGCGAGTCTAACCAAATGAGCTACTGGCCAGGGCCATTTGATAGATTTGATTCTTAGTATCTCAATCTTAGGGACTAGACATAAAAGGGGAAATTATATATTAAGAAAAAATTCAATATAATATTTTTAAAGATGAGCTACATCAAATCTGCTTACTGAACCAGTTTATAAAATTCCAATATTTGTATAAACCTCACGTGTCTGCCTAATTCAGGGAAAAGGAACTAGGATCTAGCTGCCGGAAGAGATTGTTAGTGTCAGCAGATGGTAAAGGAATGGGCGGTGCTCCTAGAGGCAAATAAAGGAAATAAAACATTTTTCTGGTTGAACATCCTCTTACCTTCGGCCCTGATCCAACCGGCCATGAGGGCCCCGAGCAGGAAATCTATTCAGGTGGCTCAGATGAAGTGTGTGGGATGTTTGGAAGAGACTCAGAGCTGCAGAGAGGAAATGGCTGGTGACTCCAAATTCTAAATATCCAACTTTCCCTCTCCCTTTCTCTCAGTGCACACAAATACCCACTTCTAGTCACAGAGCAGCAACCTGACAGTTACAAGTCCATTCATCCAGAGTACCCCATAAAACGACACCCCAACATCCATGCCACTGGTACTCACGCTTTTGAGGAAAGAGTGGGGGAATCCGGTGAGGCTGGAAGATCAGCTGGGGCTGAGCTCCCAGAATCCCTTGCTTCTGGCCCAGGGCTGCCACATGTAGAAGGGGAGGTGCTGGGGACTTCAGGAGGGGCTGCAGGGCAGTAACCAGGAAATTCAGGGCATCCCATAGTTAACGAGCCCGTCCCCTCAACAAAAGTAAGGCTCGTGCCCAGCTGTCAGGACACAGGGGCTTCGCTCCCTCCCTTTTCCAATGCACGTGACCAGGAGCGAGAAATACCTGATTGGAGAGCGTTTGCACCTTGACAGCATTCCAAGGCACTGCCTGGCCTGGGTTGTATGCAGCCTTCACCAGCACCTTCTCACCCAGCTGGGGCAGCCGGCCCTTCACCACACTGCCAGCACAGAAGCCTAGTCAGGACACCCTGGAAAAGCCACCCTAACTTCCCCAATGAGCCCTTCCGATTGAGATTTCTCGCACCCTTGCATAAACACAGGAGAGCAACGGCTTCCAAGGAGCCCCAAGAACATGGTGACAGAACAGAATCGAACAAGCATTTCCAAAAAGACCAAGCCTCAAACCCACCTGAGCTGAAAAAAGACCTCTTCGTCCACCACCCCAAAATAGTCGTGCAAGCTGGTGACAATGCCCGTGAAGACCCGCTGCTTCTCCCCGCCCTGTAAGAGAGTGCAGTTAAAACGGAGCGTTTACTCACATTCTGCCATTAGCATCTCATCTCCATCTACACACCCGCCCAGCTCAGTCAGAATACCGCATCAAGACTCATAGGGAAGGCCGAAACCGGTTTGGCTCAATGGATAGAGCGTCAGTCTGCGGACTGAAAGGTCCCAGGTTCGATTCCGGTCAAGGGCATGTACATTGGTTGCGGGCACATCCCCAGTAGGGGGTGTGCAGGAGGCAGCTGGTCGATGTCTCTCTCTCATCGATGTTTCCAGCTTTTTATCCCTCTCCCTTCCTCTCTATAAAAAAATCAATAAAATATATTTTCTAAAAAAAGATTCATAGGGAGGGAAGCATACATGTTTAGTGGACATAATCCCATCTTTTTGCCTGGGGGTGGGTAGGGGTGGGGAGTATGCTGATTCTTGCATCACAAACTTCTAGGATTCCCAGTTATTTTATTCCAAGGAGCACCTAGAGATTTCCCTAATTTAGCCAAAATGTAAGATTCCCCGGTCAGAGGTGTCTAGTCACCTCCATACTGGCCCAGGACAGGAGTGTCAGGAAGGAAGAGCACTGTGATGTAAAAATGAAAGCATCAGGCACCCACACATGCTGAGTAGTCCCAAGCCCTAAAACTCACCAGAAAGGAGGCCCCACCTACCTGCAGGTGCCTGGCATTCTGGGACAGGTCTGTGGCCACAGGAGGAGTGAGCAAACCAGGAGGAGGACCCAGAAGAGATGTTGCAGCTGTGCCTACAGGGACAGAGAAGCAAACTCCATCAACCGCACTTGCCATCGTTAGGCACCACAGTCCACTGGGGCAGCGAGTTTCCACCTTCTCCATCTCACCACACACACACACACAAAGTACTAAAATTCTGCAGCACACCAAAAAATATTTTGCCGAAACCGGTTTGGCTCAGTGGATAGAGCGTAGGTCTGTGGACTCAAGGGTCCCAGTTTGATTCCGGTCAAGGGCATGTACCTTGGCTGTGGGAACATCCCCGGTAGGGGGTGTGCAGGAGGCAGCGGGTCGATGATTCTCTCTCATCGACGTTTCTAACTCTCAATCTCCCTTCTCTGTAAAAAAATCAATAAAATATATTTTTAAAAATATATTTTTGTCAACATGACACACAAAAAATAGGTATAATTTTTATTCATTCACACCAGATGGTTATTGTCATTTTTTCAATTTTACAAACAATACGTTTGGCTGTTGTCATTTTTTCATTTGACAATCTAAGGGAAAAGAGGTCACTGCCCCTGACTACGTAGTCAGATATTGCATGTTTTAAAAATCCTGCTGCAGCACACCGGTTGAAAATCGCTAAACGAGAGGATATGGCAAACTCAAAAGGCAAAGTGGCTCCAAGCAACACTTCCACAGGGTTTCGCTGGCAACCACTGTGGGCAGCTCTTATTTCCCTAAGCAACATCAGCAGCAAATTGCACTCCACCAAGGAAAACGCAAAAGCCCTGTTTTTAAAGACCCAACGCGCATCTTTTCCAGGATGAGCCCCGGTAGGGATAAAGGTGATCACCTGAGAAGTTACGTCCCCCTGGAAGTGGGTTGATCCGCTGACGCTTAAACTGGGACATTAGGATGGCTGTCTTCTTTCAGAGTCTTAGGGGGGGAAAACCTTCAATCAGAAAAGAAATAGATTACCAGCTCATAGGGGAATTTTCCATCAACCTCAACACAGGAATTAAGTATCTGGAGGAGAGTGGGGAGAATGAATGGAGATGGTGGGTGAAAGGGAATATAAAGAGTAGCAGAAAATGAGGGAATTACATTGTTCCAGTTCGCCCTCACAAATAACCTGGCGGTGGGTGATACTGTCACGCGGTTTTAAAGAGCAAACTGAAGCTCAGAGATTGACACTTGCCCGAGGCCATACAACCAGGTAGTGACTAAACCGGGACTCACACCCGGTCACCCGACAATGTATAGCACTCCTCTCACTATGAGGATGGGTGGGGGTTGGGGGGCTGGAAAGAGTCCGGAGACGTTCATTCATTCAAATACATCCGCCAAAATGCTCCACGCAAGGCCCAGAAAAATGAAGGAGGCTGCCGCTAGAGAGATCGTGTGGTCCTCTGCCCGGAAGCCCGGCCCGCGGTCTCTCCCTCCTCCCCCTCCCCTCCCCGGCCTGGTAGGCAGCACGGTGGCCCGGCTGACCGCGAATCCGGTTGCGCACCCGCCCTCCCGCTCCCATGTTCCCCGGCCCTTCGCTCCCGCTTCAGGGGCCGCCGGGGCCGGACCTCCCGGGCCGGGTCACAGCCAGGCCACCGCGGAAAGACGGAGGCGCACGGTTTCTCCTCCTCCCGCCCGCCCGCCCGCCCCCGGGGCCGTGGCCGTTGCCAGGGAGACGGGACTTGCAGTCCAAGGGGGGCTCGGCCCCTTCCACGCCCGAGCATCTTCGCCGCCGGCCCTCGCAGCCCCCCGGTTGGGGGAGGAGCTAAGAAGCAGAAGGGCGGCGGGGGGCCCACAGACCCACCTGCGGGCCAGGGCCGCGACACCGGGGGACAAAGGCACCCGGAACCACCACAGCCGCTGCAGGCGCCGCCACCGGAAGCGCCTCTCCGGAAGCGCGACCACTAGTCGGAAGCTGCCACTCTCCCGGATATAGTCCCTCCCTCCGCTCCACCGACCTCTCCCTTCCCCCACGCGAGCCTGCCGTGGGGCTCCGACGCGGGAGCGGAAGTACGCCTTCCCCTATCGGATGCGCTTTAGGGAGTTGCGCCGGGGTGGTGTTCTCGCTTAAGTGTCCCATTAGAAAAATGAGCATCAGAGAATTGGTTCTTGGTCCAAAGACAGCTGAAGTTGAGCCCCAAACCTAAGGAAGCACCCTACCTGGCCTCATTCTAGCAGACCCCAAGATTGTAGCCAGAAGAGAAGCAAGTTCTTCTGACCAGAGAGGAGGAGTGGCCAATTCTAGGAGACATTCCTAAGTCTGACTCAAGCCAATGACCCCCCTCCCCAACCCTGCCCTTCCATTTAAGGCAACACACACCCACACACTTCCCATTTACTGGTACCTGCAGATGATGCTCTTCCCCTTTCTCAATTAACAAAGAGCTAGGAATCTAACAAGCTATATAGTAAGACAAACCACCATAATATTTACATTCTCATGGACTTTATCTTTCGTCCTCACAACAATGCCGGCGGTAATTAAGACAGGAATTAGGGCCATCATTCTCAGATATGAAACCTGAGGCTTCAATGAAATGACTTGCTCATGATCTTGCCGCTAATCAATGGTCATTTTAGTCCACATTACAATTCCAGCCCCCGCCCTTGTCCCCTGATCTTCCCATCATCCCTCCAGTCTATCCACTCTCCAGCACCCATACCCTCCCCTTCCATATTCATGAAACATTCACAAAGCTCTTTGAGACAGTTTAATCTAATTTTATCCTCAAAACAAGCCTGTGAGGTAGGTAGGTCAAGCGTCTTTATACCATTTGGGAGATTAACTGGGAAGCTATGGCTCAGACAAGTTAAGGGATTTTGTGAAGATGTAAAAGCTAGTGTGGGCCTCTGGTTTCAGCTCTGAGGTGTAAAGGCTAATAGGAAGCAAAACACCTAACAAAGCGTACTCTGCTATTCCCCGTTTTCCCTAACCCTCTCATTCCTGGTGCAGTCTTCAGGATCTCTGCTCTAGGGGCAAGACTTAAAGCAAAGACACCCATCTGGTCCTGGGGCTTCCAATACAGGTATGCAGAGCAAGGCAGGACTCCAGGAGCAGTAACCATCCGCTGAGGAATGAAGGTCAGTTCCATCCTTCAGCAGTTACCCCACAGAAGACCAGCCTTTTGAGTGTGTGATTCAGGAGAGATGGTTGAATCCAATCAGTTCACAACAGAGATACGTGTGTATCATGTTGCATACATACACATCTGCAACACACTGGACCCCAACAGGTCACCATGCCAAAAGCACTCCCTGGGTTCAGGGGTTTCTGGCAGCCAGAAGGGCGCCCGGGAGCCACACCTCGGGGTCTCCCAGGGAACCAGGGCTCCTCTGCCGAGCTGCTCAGAGGAGAAACACGTGAGCATCAGCAGCTTTTCCTGGCAGTGCCCAAAAACAGCAATGGGGCCAAAGGCAAAGAAGACTTCACTGCACACCTCCGGCAGTGTCATGTCCCTGCACCAGGAGGTCTCAGGACAAAGAAAGGTTTTTTGCTCGTTGCTTCTTCACCACTAATGATGGCATAAAGGTCTTCCTGAGGGGACGACATGGAAGGTCCCTTGAATCAACTCTGTGAAAAAGGAAAGGAGGCCTTGGATTAGGAGAAGGAAGCAAAGGTAACAATGGCCCAGGGTGGATCAGCATTGTGTATCTGCTGTGGGGAGCTGGGGATGATAACTGACACACACACACACACACTTACACACACACACACACACACACACACACTTACACACACACACGCACACGCACACGCACACGCACACACGCACACACAAACACACTAGCAAACATGAAAAGGTGACCTAAGTTTTAGCTTTGGGCATTAAGGACTTACTGAGATGGCCTAAGGCAGTGGTGGGCAAATTCATTAGTCAACAGAGCCAAATGTCAACAGTACAACAATTGAAATTTCTTTTGAGAGCTGAAAACAGATTTCTGCGCATGGGCCACAAACTTTCAATTGCACTGTATGTGCATGCCCACACGTGGTATTTTATAGAAGAGCCACTCTCATGGGGCCAAAGAGCCGCATGTGACTCGAGAGCCACGTGAGGCTTTTTGGCCCCTTGAGTGTGGCTCTTTCACAAAATACCACAGCCTGGGCGAGTCTATTTTGAAGAAGTGGCATTAGAAGAAGTTTACGTTTAAAAATATTTGGCTCTCAAAAGAAATTTCCATCGTTGTCCTGTTGATATTTGGCTCTTTTGGCTAATGAGTTTGCCGACCACTGCCCTAAGGAGATCCCCCATACCCTGGTACTGGCTCTGCCACTGATTCATCATGTGGCCTCAGGAAAGCAATCCCCTCCCCTGCCTCAGCCCAGCCTCCTCATCTGTCAATGCGGAGTTTAAACCACTTCCTGATTCTTCCAGCACCTCTCCAAGACTGTCTATGTCACTCAGCTGTCAAAGGGACAAAGAGAACTATTTGCACAACCCCTCATCCTGGTTCATCGGGCTCCTCCCTCCGCCCTAAGCTGGGCTGGGCCACGGTACTCACCTGGAAGCAGGGCCACGAGGAGGGGCGGGAGGCTCAGGGTGTTGAGGGCTCTTCCAGCAAATCCGATTGAGAAGGACCTTGATCTTGTTCCAGTGGGAGAGATCCTGCTGAGCAGAGAAAGTGGGGGTCACCACAGAGCCCCATCCCACAACATACGCGATACTACCAGAGGCAGCTGTCACCGCAGTCAGGAGAAGTCCCCTGCTCCAAACAGGAGCCCCCTCCTTTCCCCAGAGTTCCTGGCCTTCAGGGTACCCACACAAGCCCACCACCCCCACCTCCACCTGTCACCTGCCCCACACATACCCATCACCTACTCTGTGACTCTGGGAGGGCTGAAAGGTGTGAGCTCGTTCTGCTGGGACTCCGGACAGCCTGAAAGGGTTGGCACTGGGCACCCCTACCATTGGGAGTGAAGCTCTTCCTTCGCCTTCGGAGAGAGAATCAAGTTGCCCAGGGCCAGGACCAGGAGCACACCCATCCAGCCCAGGGCTCGGGGAGGGGGGGGGCGGGGTCTGCCTGGGGCTCTGGGCAGGCAGAACACAGAGGGAGACACAGTTGCCCCATACCTGTCTCCGAAGCCTGGCTGTGCAGTTCCCATGACCCCCGCACCTCACTGCCTGGGGCATGAGAGGGTGGAGGTGAAGGAGCCACAGTCAACTCCTCCTCCTCCACGGGGCCCTGCGAACAGGAGAGAAGGGCAGTCAGCGCCTGAGCAGAGGCCTAGGCCCTTCTGAAGGAAGCCCTGGTGCCAGGGGTCCCGCCTCTCCTGTGCCTCCCCCACTCATGTGCCCGCCCAACTGCCTGACCACCAGGCGGCTCGCTCACCCCAGGGGGCCTCTGGGTTTGCAGCTGCAGGTGGAGCTGCTGCAGCCTCACCATCTGCTCCAGCACCAGGCACAGGTGCTCCAGGTAGCGAAGACCCTGTCCGGGAGGGCAGGCCCCGGCTTCGGGCCCCGTGCCCCTCACCTGCAGGGCAGAGTAAGGGAGGGGAGACTTGGACTCAGACAGACTCCCACCCGTGGCAGCTATCAGATGGGAGCAGAACAGGCAGGGAAAGGAGGATCATGCACCCAACTGGCCTCCCAATGCCCAGCCAGCCAGGGTTCCAGGCTAACCTCATACCTGGCCACCTCCACACAGTGAAACAACCCATCATTAGGGACAGAAATGCCCCACCCCGAGAGAGCTCCGGGGAGAACAAATGGGGAGCCCCAGCTGCTCCCCGTGAATGGGCCATCTCTATCCCCTCTCCATCCAGCCTGGGAGCCGGCACTCACCACCTCTGCTTCTTCCAGGCCTGCCTCCAGGTCAGTGTCTGCCGTGGTGGCCCTCTGGTCCCTTGCTCCAAAAGGGGGCACGTCATACTCAGGCCTCATAGGCGGCAGGGAGCGGCGGTGATGTACCAAGCTGGCAGGGGAAGCCGGGAGCCGGCCGGACCGCTCCAGCACCCGCTCTAGCTTCTGGCTGGCCAGCAGCCGGCCCGGGTGGGCAGAAGGCTCCATGGGCAAGGCCGGGGGCTCAGGGCTCCCCACAGGCTCCATGTCCAGGGAGTCCTGGGACAGGCGTGGAGAGGTGGCCCGGGAGCTGTCCCCCACGGCCATCTCCACTCCGGAGCCCAGGAAGGCCAGTTTGAGGAGTGGCATCTGCCTCCGGAGACCTTTCAGTTCGCCATCCCCTTCCCGGGAGTCCAACGATGCCTCTCCGCGGGCGTCCGGGATCCGTCTGAAGGAGCTGGTGACTCCAGGCACTGCACACCCTCGCGCCAGCCTCTCGCCAGCCCCATCTGCGAGGAGAGTGAATCCGGCCCGGCAGGCTGCCCCGCCCCCGGCATTCCAGGCCGCCGAGAGCATTCCGCGGAGAGGCGCGGCCTGGGCCACAGGTGAGGGGCGGGGCCTGCCCGACCGCAGCCCCGCCCCCGCGCCGACCACGCCCCGCTCCCTCTAAAGCCCCGCCCACCCCGCCATCCGGGTCGGGGACACCCTCAGCGGCCCGCCTGCCGCAGGAACGGTTCGTGGTCACCCCAGGGCAGGCCCGTGCGCTGGGCTGTGGGGAAGGGTCTCCTCTCACCAGCCCCTGGGATGGCCTGTCTTCCTCCCGGGGCCCTTGCGCTCCCGGCCTCGGTCTGCCTAGGACCTCCAAGCCCTAAGCGGGGAGCTGAAGCCTCGCCCACTGCTTCCGGAGCAGGGTGGTTGGGGGTGGTATGGCTGTGCACCCGCTCGGGGCGAGGGGAAGGGCGCAAGGCCCGAAGCCTGGGCTGCAGACTGGCCCCAGGCGGCTGCTGAGCTCTCCGGGAGCTCGGGGTACAGGGTGTACGGGGGCGGGGGAGGGGGGTGATTAATAGCCACCACCACTTGGGGCTTCCGTTCCTAGTAAGTGAGAAAGTGAGGACTCTGTGGAGAGTTGAAAAGAAAAGGCTTAAACAGAAGAAAGGAAACGGGGGGGGGGGGGAAGGCAGGAGGAGAGGTCGCTTTGTCATCCACTGCCACCTGGATGCCCAATGGCACTGAGATGTAGAAAGTGAGACTGGCGGACGCTGCACATCCCCCAAGCGGTGGATGTGCAGCGTCCACCGCTGCGTCCAAGGGGGCGGTGCCAAGCGATGCCCCGGGGCCCGGACAGGGAGAGGGCCACCAAGTCCCCCCTCGCCCCCCGCGGCGGCTGTGGGAAGGGGCGCCGCTGCAGAGGGGCTTCTAACGGCTGCAGGGCCGGTGCCAGCGGGGCGGGACCAGCGCGGGAGCCGAGGGGCGGGGCGCGGAGCGGGCGGGGCCGGCGCCCACACTCAGGTTCCCGGTGCGCGGCGGCCACTCGGCCTTCCGGGGGTGCGAGGTCGCGCCCTGGGCGGTGGTTGTGCGGGGTGGGGAGGGGCGCAGCCAGGGCTCTGGGTGGCAGCAGGCGCTAGGGCGGGAGGCTCTGGCCGCCTGGGGTGGCGACTACCCCCGGCCGCCGTCGAGCGGCTCCACGGGCGGCTTTGCTGAGCGTCCGGACCCGGTGGGCGCGGCCCCCGGGCACTCCCCACGCGCGGAGAGATGGGGCGCGGGGCGCGGCGGAGGAGGGACGCGGGTGTGCGGGGCGCAGGTGTGCGGGGCCCCGGTGTGCGGGGCGCGGCTGGGGAGGGGCGCAGGTGTGCGGGGGGGGGGGGGGGGGGGCGGGGCGGCCCGGCCCCAGGGCTGGCGGCGTGCGGGGAGGACCCTGGCCCGCTGTCCTTCCCCTGGGCAGCCCCGCGCTCCCGCCCCGGCCCGGCCCGGAGGGGAGCCCCCGCAGGGGTCCGTCTGAGTCGTGGCGCTAGGTCACTCCGTGTCCCAGGCCCCCGCGGAGCTGCCTTCCTGCCGCCCAAATGCAGCGGGCGGCGGGGCCGGGCCGGAGCGCAGGAGGAAGTGGAGCCCGTGCCGGCGGCGGGGGGAGGGGGGGGGGCCCGCTCGCAGCCGTGTGTCTGGGGCGATGACACCGCCATGGGAACCTGACGGGATCAAATGGGGGAAATGCCGTCTGCCCAGAGGGAACCCCTCTCCTTCAGCTGCAGAGCTCCTGGTCCCACCCCCTTCCTCACCAGGGACCCTAGAGCTGGGACTTCAGGCCTGGGGACCCAGGGAGCTGGGGAGACTGGAGAGCCGCCTGGGGACGGTGCTCTCCAGTCCCCACCCCAGCCCTCTTTTGCACCCTGGATGCAACACTGTCACCCCACCACCCTCAGGGGGCTGGGAGGCAGCCTGTGACCAGTGGGTGGTGGCCGCTGAGGACACCTGTCCCCCTGAGGACGGTGACCTGGCCGGATGTCTGCCCACCTCTTCTGCTCCTTGCTCCTTCCACCCTTTCTCAAACACCTTGTGCAGAAGCCTTCATCAGGGAATCCCTCTGGCCCTATCCTCACCCCATTCCTCTTTCTCACACAGAGAGAAACAGCCCACTGGGCCTGGCAGGAGCTGCTGTATGCAAATCACACAGCATGTGTGGCACCAAGCCCCAGCCTTACCAGCCCCCGGACTGTCCTCCGGGGTAGGAGGTAGGAGGGCTGGCTAGTCAGGCAGGTGGCTTCCTCCCTCCAGCGGGAGAGGGTGGGAGGGGAGGAGGGAGACTTTGCCATAGCTCACCCTGAACGTGGAGGATGTGGAGCCAAATTCCAAGCAGCAATCTCCCCGGTGACTCCAGGGCAGGAATGTGTCTGGAACAGGAAGCCAGCCAGCTGGAATGCGAAGGTCTCAGCACAAGGCTTTGTGTGGCCTCGAAAGAACATGCCCCCACATACATGTACACTCCGCTCCAGACCATGCTGATATGCCATGCCCTCACGGTGCTCATGATGATCCGGATACCTTGGAGGGGGCCGGGGGGAGTATATACACATCCTTCCCATCTGCCTTCTGCTACCCTGACTGGCAGCCCCGCGCCCCCACATGACCGCCTCCAGGGTCTCTCCTTCACCCTGACCTCGAGGAGGAGATTCCTCTCCCTGTGAGGGATGCTTAAAGGCAGGGGAGGGGCAGACAGCCCACCTGAGGGGTGAGCAGCTATGTTGGCTGAGACAGGTGGTAGCCAAGACATGTGGTGGCCAGAGCAGCCACTCCTCAGGCTGAGTTACAGGCCCCTCCACCTCCATGGACGCTCAGCACTGAGCTAGGCCCTGAGGGACCGTGGGCAAAGCTAAGCGCCCGGAGGCAGCTCCTGCCACACGAGAGATGGCGGGGAGCCGTGGTGACCTCTGTCGCCTGGAAAGCTGCCTCTGATGATGGAAGGGCAAGGACCCCCCCCCCCCCCCGCCCGCCCCACCCCACCCCTGGACAAGCCAGAAACCGGGAGTCTGCCCCAGGTTCCTTCCCTGGCCCTCTCCCTTTACCAGCTAGGAGCCCTTCCACCAGTTACTCTTCCCCCCGTCCCAGCTTCTTCACCCATAGAGGAGGGTGATAACAGTACCACCCAACTGGGAGGGCTGGAGTTCAAGCACTGAACACCTCCTGGCCCTTGAGAACCATGTAGCTGTGGGACTTGGGGAGTCACATTCTCATCTCCCACTGAAGGGGGCTGTGTTCCATACTCTCCCAGGCCGCTTCTAGCTCCTCCAATCTGTCATCACTTCTGAAGTTATTCCCCCAAACGCAGAAAAACCCAAGGTGGGCCCTGCACTGGACCAACTGCTGTTGCATAATCGGGTGGTCTCCCCCGGCCTCCTCTGCCGACACATGGGTTTGGCGAGTCACTCCATCTCCCAAAGATGTTTTCTCCCAGGCTCAGGCTGGCTTTGTGGCTGCAGAGAGTTCTGGAACTGCAACCCTCCAGCCCCCGGAGGGAGGGCTGGCGGCCACAGCTAAAGAGGTAGACTTTGGCTGGAACCCATCCAGCCCTTAAAGGCTTTCTGCCACTCCCCGGCATGCCCACGTGCCAGGGTCTCCACTCCTGCGAACTCCGCGGGCCCAGGCAAGGACCTCACCACATTCCTTCTGCAGCCCACCTGTTTCAACTTGCTTTACATTTGCAGGGTTCCAAGGGCCTCAAGGTGAAGTGTAAACCATTTCTCCTGGCACTCAAGGTTCCCGTCTCCCTTTGCAGTCTTACCCAGCATCCCCTTCAGCCACTGCCCTAAACGGAGCATCCCCCTGGCATGCACCCCCATCACTCGGCATTTCTCTCCTCCACCGGTCCAAGTCCTGGCCATCCTTCCTGCACGCGGACGGCCCCTGCTCAGCACTCACAGGAGCCCCTGTGGGTTCCACATTCTCTCTTAAGCACTTGTCGTCACGCAGCATTATTTCATTCATGCCACTCAGTTGCTGCCACTTGGCGGTTACCTTCAGGAAAGCAGGAAAAATGCTAGATCTTTCTATAGTCCCACTTGGCCAGAACCCAAGTATTTCCCAGAGGGGTGAATTCCCTTCTGTGGGTCTTCCCCCTGCCACGGGCTACACCGGACACTAGGTGGCGCCCCAATGGGGATCCCATTTCAGACCAGACCTGCTCCTGGGCCCCAGAAAGCAAGCCTTGATCTTTCCTGTGAATATCGAGGCAGCGATCCAGGTAAAAGTTGAGACAATTCTATCAAAGTGTAAATTATATCAACAGGTGCCTGAGGAGGCAACACAGCCTCTGCCAAGATTCCTTCCCCAAAGAGCCAGATGGCACGCAGCACGCTCTGAAGCCCAGCTTTGATCTTCCCGGTGAGAATAGAGCAGAGGCTGCGCCCATCCCTGCGGCTGGATGGGGGCAGGTGAGTCTGACGCAGCCAGCAGCACCCGCGCGCCTCTCCGAAATGTCCTCTGGGATCAGAACAAGGCGGAGGGGGAGGGCCGTCGACCAAGCCAAAAACCTGGCAGGGACCCCTGTCCCCGCCCCAGACATGCTGGCACTGCTGTGCACTTCACATGCACTCCCAGGGAAAGGGGGGGCAGGCCAGCCCCGGCTTGGAGGTGCGGCCCTTGGAGGGTGGTGGTCCCTCAGGATGGGGCTCTGCTGGGGTGTCCCCTCCAGGCAAGGCTAACCTGCAGCCTCGTCCCCAAGTGGTTCTGGTGATTCTCTCTCCGATGGCTGCAGACAGCCTCAGAGGATGCAGGAGGCACTTTGGACCGTGCCCCTCTCTGCCCACCCTCTGGGTAAGTCAGCAGGACTGGCAGCCTCCACAGCAAAGGGCCCAGAGAGCACCAGCCCAGCCAGTGGTGGCAGAGCAGGGGAGGCACAGAATGGGCCTGGGGCTGCCTCCTGTGCTTCTGCTGCCCACCCCCCAGCATCCTCTCCCCTCCCCAGGCTCCCAGGGAGAAACCGACTCCTGTAAACCAGCAGGGATCATCCGGTAAAACAGGCATCTTTACACAGGGGTCCAGGAAGAGCAGGAACCCCAGCTTCATCAGCTGGTAGGACAAGGGGTGGAGGGAGGGGAATATGTGAATAAAGCCCCTCCTCCCAGCGGGAGGGAGAAGCCCGGGAGGAGGGGATAGGAAGGAGGGGCAGCCCCTTTATTTCGTCCCCGTGTATGTATATATATTTATTGAGCTCCCGTGTCAGAAACTTTGCACCGTGAATACCTCTAGCCTGTGGCCCCCCCTTCTCCTAGATACTGATCCCCACGGCCCGCCTGCCTGACCCCTGCTGCTCCATGCTGGCTGATGCAATGTCCGCCGCGGAGACTGATGCAGAGGCGCCCAGCAGGGGGGAGCGAGGCTATCTAGCAGAAGCCTGGGAGGATGAGACAGGCCCCAGCCAACGGCCTCACCCAGTGAGGAGGAAGGGGCCCGTCGCCCACCATCGCCCTTCCGTGCCAACTGGCTATGGGCATGGCCCTGGCGCGGAGGGGCCCGCGGAGTCCTGGGCAGGCGGAGCGCGCAGCCGGCCGGCGCTCAGGCCCGGGAGGCGAGGGCTTTGGGCGCCGAGTACCGCTGGCGGGCATGCTTCTCGCAGTACAGCTCGTCCCCCACCCAGAAGTGCCCGCGCATCTTCAGGTTCAGCCCGCAGTCCGCGCAGGTGTAGCAGCCGGGGTGGCGGTACCGTCCCTCCTGGATGCGCACCGCCTGGTTCCTGTGGGGGGAGGGGGGTCGGAAAGCCAGGCGTTAGGGGGGGGGGGGGGCGGATGGAGGGCCGGAAACCGGAGCACCCGGCGTGATGCTCCCCAGAGCCCAGGGGCGGGACCTGGGAAGATCCCCAAGTCTCAGAGACTTGACCCTCTCACGCCTGCCCTCAGGAATCTCACATCAACAGCCCCCATCCCCAGAACTATAATAATAATAATAATAATAATAATAATAATAATAATAATGATAGCCAAAACCGGTTTGGCTCAGTGGATGGAGCTGGCCTATGGACTGAAAGGCCCCAGGTTCGATTCTGGTCAAGGGCATGTACCTTGGTTACAGGCACATCCCCTGCGGGGAGTGTGCAGGAGGCAGCTGGTCCATGTTTCTCTCTCATCGATGTTTCTAACTCTCTCTATTCCTCTCTCTTCCTCTCTGTAAAAAAATCAATTATTTATATATATATATATATATATATTTTTTTTTTTTAATAATAATAATGATAAAAGTCATTCCTCCCCCACAAAAGGCAGGTAAACTCCACCCTGAATCTCCTGGGTTGTTAACAGAGCAGTGGCTCCCAATGTGTGGTCCCTGGTGCCAGGCTGGGACCGGCTGGCTGGCAGGCGCTGGGGCCAGGGCCCTGCTGAAGAGGACACTAAGATGCGGGCCCAGCAGTGTTGCCACAAGCCCGGGGCCCGGGCAGCTCCCTGGCACGGGCACAGCCCTCCGTCAGTGCCGCGTGAGCTCTCCCATGCTGCAGATGGAGCACCGAGGCCCAGGGAGCGGACGGGATCCGCCTGGTGAGGCATCTGCCCTCGTGCTGTGTGTGGAACCACTTTTTCCGGGGGAGCCTTCCCGCGGTTTTCCGGAGACTGTGGCTGCATGGTCATGCCACCCAGGGAGAAAAATGAACCTGCCTCTGGAAAACTCATCCTGTTCCAACGGAGGTACAGGAGGGGAAGAGCAAGATCTCCCAGGAGGAGGCTCCGCACCCAGAGGCAGATCCCCAGGGGCGGGAAGATCGGGAGATAACCAAAAGCAGTAGCACAACATCCTCCAGGAAATCCGGGAGGAGCCGGAACAGCGGAACTAAGCCAGCCGGAACTAAGCCAGCCGGGCCCCTCGAAGGCTGATAATGACCATGGAATGGCTGATGGCTCCACTTGTCACCGAGCCCTCCGGGGCCCCTCGGGTGGCCCTGTGCAGCCCCGCTGGGAAGCATCCTGTGCCCTGCCCCCTACCCCCCCTCCCAGGCGGCCAGACTCACGCAATGCTGCTGCTGCACTTCTCACACGTGTGGAGCTTGGGCGGGGTGGCCGGGGCCCGGGGGGTGGGCAAGGAGGACTGGGGGCTCAGGGAGCTGGGCAGGAAGGCAGGTGTGCCACCTGGAGGGGGAGGGCAGACAGACACATCAGAGCGAGCCCACCGCGGCGGCAGGCTGTGTTTACACACACACTGCCTGCTCCGACACGCTCTCCCAGGCGGGCCTCCCGGTGGCACCAGGCTGAGCGTGGGGCGAGCGTGGGGCGTGGAGGGAGGAAGCGATCCTGCAAGATCCTTGGCCGAGGCTGGGCGAGTGCAGGAAGCACACCGGGGGCTGTCTGCCCAAGCTCGGGAGCAAGCTGGGCGTGTCTGCGCGGGTCTGACACAGCAGGCCGGGCAGACGGCTCCCTTGTGGGGCCCAGTCGGTCGTGATGATGTTACTGGGCAGTAAAATGGGCAATAACCTTTGTAGCTTTCAAAGGGCTCTTACGTGCATTATTGCCTCTGAACTTCGGACGACGCTCAGAGGAAGCACAGATATCACCAGGAGGCAGGGACGGTCCCCATTTGCAGCTGATGCCATGGACTCCAGTATGATGTCACCACCCATCTGCACTGGCCTCACCCACTGCCTCTCCCTGGCCCCCTCCACCAGGGGTGCCCACCGAGACCTCAGGGTCACAATGGACAACACTGGCTCCAGCCCTAACCGGTTTGGCTCAGTGGAAAAAGCCAGTGGAGAAAGCGTTGATCTGCGGACTGAGGGTCCCAGGTTCGATTCCCGTCAAGGGCATGTAC